CCCCAAAACCCCAAAACCCCAAAACCCCATAAATAATAATAAGTGTATCGATAAAACTTGGAAAATATAAATCTTAGTATCTTTCATCTTTAATATTTGGTATAATTTTAGAGGTCTTTATGGTATGAGGTTGGTCGTTTCTCCTCACTCATCAAAAGCTAATTACTTTCTAATTAGCTGCTATTTGGAGGAGTCTCTCGGCTTTTCAAGTTGAATTAGTGGGTTCTATGCTTGATAGTTGCCACTGCTGTTGTTGTTCAGGTTACTCATGTCTTTTCTAATGGCAGACCCGCTGTCTTAGCCTACTTAATGATGCTAGTGTTAATATATGGTGTCACTTTTAAAGTTTTAATGGATTTTATTTGCACTCGGCTTCATTCCCTAGGAAGAGTGGCTCTCGTATAGAATCTCTTGCTTGTTTATATTGGCATGCTATGGAGGTTCTTTCTCATTCACTGCGTTTTGCGATTCATGATCAGTTACTTTTGGATCCTCATCAATTCTTAACTGATTTATCACATAATCAGATTCCAGGTCATCCTCTTAGATGTCGTCAAAGTCCAAATTCAATTTCTTGTAACTTTCTGCAAAGTTTTGAAGTTTTTCTTGGTAAGAGGAATCAATAAACTGCTACTATTGCAAGTTCTGATCATACGCATTGGCTGGTGGGCTAGTCCTCAACATGTTGTTTTTGTCTTCGTCAATTATGTTCAAATTTGCTCCGAACTGTTTTCTGAGTTAGACATTGAAAATTTCTTCGTCCTAGACCATTTTGAGCCAGCGTTCTCTTTTTCTGTTCTCAATTTCTTGGGCTTCAATCATCTCCTGGTAAGTGCTGGCATACTTACTTTAATGTTGCTACTGCTGGAGAATTTATTGCTCAGAAAGACCTGGCTAGTTTGAACTTGAAAGTGAATAAAGAGCTTTTTGAAGTGGATTGATTTAATTCATCTGCTCAAAAGTAAGTCTTCTTTGAATGATTCTGTTTTAGATTGCCTGGTTGTTATTAATCTCTTCTTGAGTTTGTGGGTTGTATCTCGGCTGATATGTCTTATTGTTAAGACTCATTTAGTTCATATCATAGTGACTAAAGGATTGATTCTTATTTGTCGAGTGCTGAAGATGAGTTCTGCTGGTTTCATCAAGCCAGTAGTCATTCATGCTTTTCTGATTCATCATGTTCATCATATTTTTGTATTACTAATTATGAGCATTCATATTTGGAGAAGGAGATTCATATAAGTACTAGTGATTCTAAGGCTGCCTGTATTATTGGCCTCCACTCCCCAAAGGCAGGAAGTTAAGAGATTGCAGTTATCTCTGATGAGCTTATTGCTGTGGAGTTGAAAACAATTAGTTATGCTCTTAGTTTAATGTTTATTAAAGTGACGGGTGGATTAGTCCAGGAGGAGGACTTTGCATTTGAGGAGGATGATACTGGGCATATTAGGCACTACTGAGGTTGCTGGGTTGCTATGAGTTATTATAGTGATGCTGCTGCTGAGACATAGCAGTGAATTCGTCCATGCTTATTTGATTATGAGTTGCATGCTTAGTGTGATGTTGTTGCTAAGAGGGATAAAAACATTATGCCTGTTTATTAAGTCCTCTGCTTGAATTTTGGTTCTCTTACTAGGGAGTTAGAATGTTTTATAAAGGTTGATTTCTTTATGACTGATACTATTAGAACTAATTTTATAATGATTACTGATTCAAACTCATCGGTGTTTGAAATCTCTAGTTGCTCATTTATAATGGTTGTTGTTGTATATAGGAATTCGGCTTGAAGTAAGGGGCATTATTTAGGTGCTATTGTGGACTCATGGGAACATAGTTTATGGGAGAATCTGAGTTGAGAACTCCTGTCATTGGTTTTTCTCTGATGTGCTAGATTTATCTACCGCTACTTATCTGAGCCTGCTGAGATTGTTAACCTTACACCTATATAGGTTGTTCCAGAGATTGATTTTGAATATCATCTTCGTCTTCAACTACTTTTCTGAAGTTGATTTTGGAAATTTCGAATTCACTTGGATTTTCGTCTTGAACTTTGAATACAAATCTTTCCTGCTTTTGATAGTTGGGATCGCTTTAGTGCTTATCAGAGGAGTGCTTGTGCTTTACAGTAGAACTGGAAGGGGTCTATTAGTAGGATTCCTGATTCCTTTAGTTCGTGAGTTTGATTATATCTTGCTATTAAGCTTCTTTCTAGGATGTCTATTTTTCTTATTTAGGACATGTGCATGAAATGTGCTTGACTTCGAATGATGAATCTAAGGATTCTTACTTTTCCTAGTCTATATCTTTCGACACTTTTTGATAAGTCTTTCTCACGCATTCCTGATCCGTTTAGGCATTTTCCCTGCTTATTTATTATTCTCTAACGTGATTAAGATTATTGTCAAAGTAAAGCTCCATCAGATTGGGTTGCTGGGGGCACTTGAAATTTCTCTCTTTGGGAATAAACAGTTTTTCGAACTAATTTGATGTCAAGCCAGCCTTGGCAGTATCTTTTTGTGAAGAATTTGACGATTATTAGTTTAATGAGTCGCTAGATGATCTAGTTCCTCCAGTAATGGAGGAGTTTAGATTTCCCGATGCTCGCTTATCTTTGTTACTATGGTAGAAAGGACACTCAAATCCTTTGAAACACTTCTGCTCTTCACAAGGCTAGGTCTTATAGACTAGGGGATGAAATTATTACTCTTTCCAACCGTGACTAAAAGAACATTTTTCCAATCGTTTGCATCCCTCTTCATAGCAAGTGATGAAGGTTCCGGATTGCCAGTCTTCGCAGAGCTCGGTATCATATCTGAAGAGGTTGGGTTTACGCCTGAAGTCCTAGAAGTTATGCGCATAAACACATTATGCTTTGTTATGCTCATGGTTGTAAGGACACCATTCGGTTTTAAAGTAGAAGATATAGAAGTCGTAGTCCTGGTTGCTTGGGAGCAAGTGGTGGATTAGTCTAACTTTGATGTCTTCCACTGAGTGAGCGAAGGAGCAGTAGTCCCCGTACTCACATTGTTAAATTTTGTTAGGATAGCAGTGACAGAATTTAGTCTTATACTTATCTTTGTGATAGAGCCTTTCTACTCTGTTGTGAGCTCTACGACACTTATCTTTTTTCGGGCATTTTTCAGTATCAGCGAACTTGCACAACTCGGGAGTATAAAGGTCGTCGTCGCGTCGTTTATCTTTGATTGAGTGGAAATAGTAGCAGCTTTTATGATTGTGTGGTGCATTTTTCTTGGGACACTCAATTCTTTTGAAGTCCTTAAGGACTAAGTGCTTGATAAATATCGGTTTGCCAGTCCTGTGATGCACTTTAGTCTGAAGAATGAAAATTTCTGAGTCTGTATATTCATTGGAGGAAAGGTTTTAGTCAGGGGAGGTGTGAGAGGAAATATTTCTTTGGAAGCCCCCAATTTTGCCGAAGGTGGATTCGCTCAACTCGTCACTTGTTACAGTAGTTGTCCTTCTCATTTGTAATTATGTAGATTACTCTAGCAATATTAATTATAATTAAATACTAGTTAGAATAGGTTATATGAAAAACTTATATGGAATAATTATAATTTAAAATAGCTTTTGATATTATAATTTAGAAATTAGTAATCAATGAATATTTTTGAACCAAATTTCATACGGGGTTTTGGGGTTTTGGGGATTGAATATTATATA